AGACTGCTACTTGAAAATTACACCAGGCATTTGTGCATTTGTGCCCAAAATCCCAAGAGGAGAATAGAGGGGAAGGGAATGCAGCCTGGCCAACCTCTCTAGGGGGAGGTGATTTCTCATTTTCTCTCTCTTTTGTTCATGAGTGCACATACTCCATAACAAAACCAAAAATTACAAAAAAAAAAAGCTTCAGAATATAAAATGGGTCAAATGGTGGTGAAGAGTCTACACTACCTGATCTCCCCCTATTTAGTATTCTTACTCTCTTTGCTCTTTTTCTACTTCCATTTTTCCCTATCATTTCAATTTTATACCCAATCCCTTAAGCATATTCCACTTAATTAAAAAATATGCTGATTAGGCTCTTCATATCTGTTTTCCACAGGAAGGTCTATTTTAATCCTATATCCTTTGATTCTTTGAGATCTAAGGTACTAGAATAACCATTACTTTTGAATGGAAAAGCAACGCTATTACACATTTGTGGTTTGACCCATTTTACGTTTGGAAATTAATTTATCAAAATAGTATAACCTTGGTTTTCTGACCTAGCGATGTGAAACAAAGACAACTCTTCAGAACACAAGCCACAAGAAAAAGTAATCTGTGTACTGTAAGTGTTAGGGTTGTTATTGTGGGAAATAACTCAGTAGTTGGTTACTTTCTTTCTTTCTTTTTTGGAGAGGTTTATTACTACAGAAAGACAGAGAGAGACAGAAAGCAAGAAATCACAACCCCCCCCCCGCCGGCCCGGGGAGGGTGGCCATGCCACAATCCTTTCTCCTCCATTCTCCTCTCAGGATCTTGGACACGCACGCACACGTGCCTGGCGTGAGTTTAAGCCACCGGGTCCGGGACTTGAATCACAGTTGACTATACAGGAGTCCAGTGACATAGCCATTACACCAACTGTTGGTTCCACTTTTCTCAGTATCTTAACTGTTACATTCTTCTACATGTCAAGACCTAGCAATCACTCAAGCCTTATTATTCAAGGTTTAAGTGAGGCACAGATGAATCTAATTCAACAAGTAAAGGCATTGTCAAAATTTGCTTTTAGGGGCCAGCAGATTGCGTAGTGGTTATGTGGCCATACTCCTACATAGCTAACCATGATTTGAGTTCCCGACCTGGTGGCTTATAAATCACCCAAGGAATGTATAAGTGGGTGTCCAATATTTGGAGAATGGAAAAGAATTGTGTGGTGTGGTCATCCCATCGGGAGGGTGATGTCTGTCTGTCTGTCTGTCTCTCTGTCTCTCTCTGTCTGTCTGGCGAGCACACGCGCCCTATAGCAAAAACCTCTCCAAAAAAAAGGAAA